TGCATGAGGATTTTCCCAAGATAAGAATACAAAAGGTCATAAATCCCAGTCACTTGACACTCTGATTGAGGAATGAGGGACAGGGACTATTTAGTCTTGAATTGAACAAGACAGCCTGCATAGGGGCAGCATCCCCAAACACTAGTTATCGTTTTCCCTTGCTCTGGGGGCTACATCTTCATGCCATGGCTCTGTGGTGGGGTTGGAGATGGCAGAAAAAGGATATTAGAACTTGGGCAACACTGACAACTCATTTTTATGTGATGCTGTCTCCATGCCAGGCTCAGCTTTCATATCGATTATTTCTTTCAACCCTCCAACAAACCCATAAGGTAGACATTATCACTACCTTCATTAACACAGATGAAGAAACTAAGCCCAAGTCAGGACAAAAATGTGCCAAAGTCAGTCAACTAGTAGGACATCACAGCTTCTTAGTCCAGTGACTTTAACCACAATACATGCTACTTCCCAGCTTGATTCCCTTGATATGGCTGAAAAGCAGGTATTGCTTGCCCCACCCATGCAGAAGTCCCTAATGGAAATAGGCCAAATGCTATCAGGCAGATGTTATATGCCTTGGCTGAAAATGTCCTGGGTCAAGTCACATTTCACCTTCCATAAAACACTGCCCAGTGACCATAGTGAGACAGGAGACTTCAATTGCTGCACCTGTCTTTGGATACAACCAAACTTAACTGCAGACCTCTGAATTCTCGCATCTCATTAGGACACTGAGGTCTGACAGCCAGGCTCCCTGTGGCAAGGGAGAGGGGGCTGGAAGATTAAGGAGCGTAGGTAGCAGTGAGACTCATAGGTGATCATTTTGATTTCCTTTCAATTCCAGGGTTTCCCTCTTCCTGTGTTTGGATACAGGGCACTAGGAATTGCCTATGGAGGCTCCCAGCAATTGCCAACAGTGGCTGAATTTTTGAAACTTCAAGAGGAATAGAGCTTACACACCCAGACAGCAGGCAAGGCAGCACATCCTGCAGGGCCAGTGACATCGCTGCAGCCAACGTTGCCCACACATCTCAGTAAAAGCATCACTTGCAGGCCAGAACTTCAGGAAGAAAAGTGAGACTAGTAAAACTTTGATCTTGGAGCAGCTCTTCCTTCAATTGGGTTGGAAAACAGGTAAAATTGTTTCACACCTTTTGATAACTACAAGAAGAAAGAGAAGATCTGTTTTCCTCCTGTTTTATCTCAGTGACCTCCTTATTCCCTGAATCAAGTTATCTTCAAGCCCAAGCACTTAAAACTTGAGTGCTTTTATTTCTCAAAACCAAAAGAAACACTGAAAGCATTTGAAAGTGTTCATCAAAACCCAGACTGAAGTTTTTCAATCCCGGTGGGACATCAAAACCATCTACTTCTAGCCATGATGGAACAGCCAGCAAAGGCTATAAAACAATGCTTTCCAAATGCTGGTCAACATGCAATACAGGACCACTGAGGGGAAGGAGTGCTATAACTTCCCTCCTCTCAGAGGCAGAGAAGGAAAACTCAACTGAGAATGGGATTTCAATGAGCAGAGCAGGCAAAAACAGGATTTAGGACAGCTAGCATAATCAGAATTTGTGAAGAGTGGAGAACGGTAAGGAAAGAGTGCTAGACCTCCTCAAGTCTTTGGCTAAATACTGATCTGAATCTGTAGGAGAAATAATATACCAAAATCAGGGGAAAAATACTATCAGAAGATGGTAAGTCAGACAACTGTAGGGCCTAGAAAGACTTTCTATTCTTGTTGTCAGTGCAAAGCTCTTGTCATGTCTGGGATACTCTTCACAAGAATACAACAAAATCAAGCACCCAATGGTGCAAAATTCACTGTCTAACATTCAATTTAAAACTAACATGGAATGCAAACAAGCAAGAAACTGTAACCCATAATCAGGAAGAAAACTAATTAATAGAAACAGACCCAGTAATAAAGAGACAGACAAGGAATTTAAAAACCATTATGATGAATCTGCTCTCTTCATCCGCTCAAGAAGTTAGAGGAAAATATGAATGGAAGGAGAGAGAAGTGGAAGATGAAAGTAGTTTTTACGTATTTGTTGTTCATTGTTAGTGCCTTAGCATTGCTCTGGGCCCTGGGTCACAGTGGCTCTGGGCCAGCTTTTAGACATGCGTAGTTGTTGAAAGTTCACCATGCACTGTCTATCCATTGAGAATTGAGCACTAATCCTGCATATCCAATGCACACCAAAAAAATGAGTAGAAATGAGAGTTTCAAACAATAATAGAGATTTTGAAAAATATTGAGAGGCAGGGCCAAATAGTAACTTCCAAATAGAAAAACTTCCCTTGGTTCTTCTCATAAGTGAGTGTGTTGGAAACTCATCTATCAGAAGATAGAAGGGCAAGCCTGGTTTTGCAAGCCTCAGATCATCAGACAGGTCCTCATAGTGAACAAAAAAGACACTTACATTCACACTCTGGGAGATGCAAGCATATCGCTGGATGCTACATAGAAGGTTTCCTTTCATAAAATTGGTGAATCTATCCAAGCTTCGCTTTATAGGGAGTCTTAGAATGTGTCCATGCTTGAAATGTGGATAGCAGGCACAGCTCCAAGATGTGCCCATCCCATGGCCCAGGTAAGGCTTTGTGGTTATCTGAAATTTATCAGATATTTATGCAGCTAGAAAAGCCCTTAACATACAATATTTCTGTCAGTTTGGAGCATTTTGGAGTCAACAGTGGTTTAGGATTTGGAAACAGAAGCATAAAGATCTGCCGGACCTTCACCTTCATCTGCTCCCTGCCCTAGTGACCTCTCTGCCCAACAGGGTCTACTTATGGCTCCTCCCAAATGCAGTGTAAGGAAGAGGATGGGTGTGGCGACCCCACAGCTGAAATTATATGAGGTCACCGCTTGTCTTAAGTAACAGGTGGTTTCTCTAAAGATTGACACAGCTCAGGACTAAGGCTACGGTTTTAGAGCAGTCCCAGTCTGTGGATCTTGTACTTAACTCAAGAAGACTGGCTGGTCTTCACAGAAAGTACTTGAAATCCGTAAGGTTTTCATAGAAATAGTATCTCCCCAACTCACTGTACTAGAAAAGCAACCAGTCTTTTTCTAACCCAGCACCTTTGTGCATTGAGAGCTTATCCCAGTGACCTTGCCTATTTTTCACCCCATTGGGCACTATGTAGTCAAATCCTGGAGCAGGTTAATGGCTGGCATCTGAGCTGATGGAAGGCAGAGCCCAGAGGCTGTTAATTGGGTTCGCTCATCTATTCAGCTTGGGAAATTGAGCAAGAAGGTCTGCTTCTTCCTTGTTTCCTCAATCTAAGTGGTGCTGATATGCCCCACTGAGAATAATGAAAAGAATACTGTAGTTCAGTGAATGTCGAATATTTAATTTCTGAAAATGTTTAGTAATAAAAGTCGAACAAAGTTCAAAATTCAAAGGGACAGGAGACTCTGATCCCATCTGTTGGTTTTTAAACTCGGCCTGTGCTTTGACTCAGGAAGCACTGGGCCACTTCTCCCATCACAGATGCGGCAAGAACTGTGCAGACATCAGACTGACCTCCAGCACAGGGGCCTGGGACTCATGTTAGTCTTGGTGGCTCGTCTGTTGGCTGTAAATCGTAGCGGAGAGTTAAATCACAAAAAATGAACTAACCATAACTATCGGTATATTTGAAGTTTTTATAACTTCCTACAGAGATACACTTCTTGTTCTCATTGTTATCCTCCATGCAGACCTAAAAATGAAGGAGTCAACAAAGTTTCATACATGAAATGAATGAGAACATAGGAGTGACTGCTGTGTAGAGTTTAAGACGGAGCCATGGACACTATTGTAAAATGCATGATGATTTAATTCGAGTTTTTTCCTCTCTGGAGGACTGGAAAATAACCTCGGTGAAAATTATACAATGATAAAATTTTGTCCCTATCTGATTAATTACTTGTGAATAATAACATCTCTGGTTTCTTTCGATTATATTCTAATTGCATACCTTTTGCTCTGGTTGATTGGGCAATGAAGTAATGAACAACTATTACTGAATTTAATTAACACCATTACTTCTAGGGCCTTTCCATCTCTGTTGTGAACATGCAAAGTCACACACCCAGGGCTGGAACTAAAAGACGCCAACCTTGAATCCTGCTGAACCTGTTCCTCTACCGTGTGCTACCTTCCTTCTGCCAAGTACAGGGAACAAAAGAGCTGAGCTTTTGCCAGCATTCACGGGAAGGGTTTCCTAATAACAGCATCTATATTCAGAAAGGTTACCTTTTCAGAAAACACTGCCAATTTGTTTGTTAGGTTTATCAAAAGCGATGGGTAAGTGAGGTATCTGGGAGTCAATTACAGCGTCATTCATAATGCATTCCATGTACAATAAAGAGCTGATCAGATTTCGTGTGTGTTTACTTTCTGAAAAGATAACCTCTTACAGCTAACGTCAGTTACAGAATATAAATATGTGAGAGAGTAACATGTTTATCTCACTCTGACACTTTAAATTTCCAAAGTTCTCCATTTTTCCACAAACTTGTCTGATTTGAAAATGAAAGCTCATCTTCAAAAAAATTCTCTCTTGAATTACTTTGTTTTAAAATGATCAAAGAAAGTCCTGTACATTCTGCATAACATGTAAACAAATAGGAATTTGTTTCTAAAGACGAATCACTGAAAACTTACAGAGTTAAGACTGTTTAACTCACAGAAACGTCCTATATGTTTCTAAATGTGACTGCCAATAACCCACCACTGCAGAAGTCTGTAGAGCCCTATCAAATGTTTCATACATGCAGATGCTTGTCATGTGTAACTAACATTCATACAATGTGCTCCCCACTGTTGTTATTACAAAAACAAATAGATTAAGAGACCGAAAAACATGAACTAAGACAACCAACAGATGTGTTGATTTCTTAGCCCAGGTAGACACCTGGGCTGCCGGTGTGACACATAGCACTCCATTTCTCTCAGAGCTAAGTGTGCACCACATCTCCCCACCTGGCTCGGCCGTACCTCATATCTGCTGGCTGCTTGCTCCGCTGTCTTCCGTCCTTGACACGTGTGGATAATACACACTTTGGCTCTTCTCTGTGAGGGAAACCAGTTACTCTTCACAAAATCCATGACCATCACATGGTTTTTCAACTCCGTGCTAAACGTCTTTATCTGAAAAGCCCGGTGAACGGCTGTTCTCGAGTGGTGTGTGGTGAGCCCCGTCTGAGTTTTCGCAGGCATTCCAGAGTGCTGCATGATACTCTGAATCTTGTGACTTCAAGTGAGCCTGGCAAACACAATTTTCTTTGTTTTACCCAGGTATTGAGTGCAGCAGGAGGGGCTTGGGAAGCGCCCCAGCTCAGCCCTGTTCAGTGTCTTCCAACTCTGCAGGCAGCTGTTCCAAAATTCTTCACATGATGGAAAAGGATGTGGACTGGTAAACGGCGTGGGTGATCCTTACATGCCATTAAAGCAAACAAACAAACAAAAAAACTTCTTTCTTGTTGTGATCTGACCAACTCCAGACTTGCGCCTGCCTCAGCTGCCAGGTCATCCTGTCTTCTCTGATTTCAAAGAAACAGTTTTTTCTTTCGCACTGCATTCAAGTTCTGAATGCGGAATTCTCCTGGTTACCAAAAGGTTCAATATGTTTTTCAGTCTGTAGGCCCTCCAATCCAAATAAATTATTTACAGAGCTCTGTACAAAAGAACCAGGAGGAATAATTGCTGCTTTTTAGAATTCCTACTTTTTCTTGCCAGGACTGAAAGGAACAAGTGCAGACTGCCTACCGGCACAAAGAGCGTCCTCAGCGCTGGAGCAGATAACAGACACGCTGAAAAGAAAAGAGGACTCCCAGGGCAGAAGAGATGGCTGCAATGGGCTCTGGAAAAAACAATGTTTTTGTTTTTCCACTCAGAAGGCATGTGCATGAGCTTAGAGCCAGGCTCTGGTCCTGGGTCATTCCCTCACCACATAGAGCCTCAGTTTCCCTAGGAAGAACATTGAAATGAAAATGCCTTCCATAATACAGCCCTGGGGCACATTTTCTGTCCAAATTATTTTGCACACTTCTTACTTCACATACATAACAGGTAGAGATTTGCATGCCACAAATTCCTGGTTTGGTGCTCTTTCTCTTCACCTGGGCTTTTAGAGGTGACAATGACAAGCCTTGGGTCAAAGCTGTCCATTAGGAGGGAGTAAGGACAAGCACCTTGGCTGTCTGAATCCAGGTACCCAACTCCTCTCCACAGGTGATCTCCTCCTGGCATTCAGCAAAGATGGCCCCCTTGAAAAATTAATTCCTCCATTCCACATAGCAAGCCAGGGAGGAGGCTGAAGAAAGGGGTTCAAGTCCTTTCCTGGAAGCAGGGCCCCAGTGCCTGGCCCAACACCCCTCTCCTCCCTGCTGTGGAAGAAAGCTCTGCAAATCATGCTCAGCAGGGCTAGGATTTGAATGGCAGAATGCTGAACTTCTGCCTGTGGGGCAGTGGAAATGTGGAAGCTGAGAACTAAAACACAGGAGGAGATGGAAGACTTCAGAGATCATTTAGGCCAGTGTTCTTTCGAATGCAAAGACAGCAGACCCACAGGGATTAAATGCTGACCCCAAATCAGAGTTTTATTCATTGCCCCTTACACAGAACACCATTCAGTTCAGCCAGTGGTTCTCCCCGTATGTCGGTGAAAATGTCAAGGCCCAAATGATGACAGCCAAGACAGTGGCAGGTTTGATTCGAACCTAAGAGTCATGCTGGAAAATGTCCACGTGAAGGACAGACCACTGGGGAGTGTCATTGCAGATTTGGAAATGCCATGGTAAAGACAGCCAGGAAAGATATTTGGGCAGTAAAGATATTAAGGTTAAACAATAGTCTCAAAGAAAGAGGGAATCTGTTCTACTGCATGGGGACTGTGAAGTCTGATCCCTGTGCCAACAAAGTCTTCTTTGAACCTGCTCCTACCAACGCTTATCTGTTTCTGCCCAGCAGATCCTGAAAGCCTGGTAACAAATAGGCCCATCTTTTCTTCTAGTGTCATAGCACAGTAAAGGACTCTGAGCCACATAGAGACTGCCAGCACTACCCACCCAGCTGCTCCAGGGCCAGCAAGGTTTGACGACCTATTGTGAAAATTGATTGTCGTGGAGATTCAGGGTATCATCAAGGCTGCATGTGGCTTTTCCCTCTTCCTTGACTGTAGGGGTCATTGAACTTTAACTGGACAGTGTAGGCTGAACAAAAGAGCCTTGGCACCATCAGATTCAGTCCCTCATTATACAGGGGAGGAAATGGGAGCCCAGATGGAGGGAAGCAGAGACCAGAGATCAGAGGGCTGGAGAGAGTATGCTGTGGACACTGGAGCTTGAGTAGCAGGTGGTTGTGAGCAAGATCTTCCTCCCTCAGTTCCAGCCTTAGTTCTTTTTATCCACAAACCCTGGCTATTCTGATACACAGGGATATAAGAGAGTATTAATTCAGAAGATATACAGACAACACAGTGCAGAGCAGCTCCAGCCATCTGGGTAGACCCTCCACGGGCAAGGGAACATCCTTCCACCCATCCACAACCTTCTACCTGGCCTTGAAACCATTGTTCCTTGGGCCCAGCAGGGACACAGACTCCACAGTTTTGTCACTGTGCATGTTAAAGCTCAGCTTTGTCAGAACACCTAGTTTCCCTTGGCACTCAGAGTATTAGCCCTGCAGCCTTGGGTGAACTGTAAAGCTTTCACCTGACTCAGTTTTCCAGTCTGTTTAATAGGACAACAATAATGCCTTCTTTGATGGGCTCCTGTAAAGACTGAAGGAGTTGGCACCAGAAAGAGCTTGGGATAGAGCCTAGCACCAGATCTACACTCTGTCCTCAGAATGTGTCACTATCTCCAAAAGGTGACGATTGTGCAAGAAGGAAACAGCCAGTTACATTGTTTTAATACTAAATTAAAAACAGGAACTGACCCTATTTCCAGGACTCCGTCTACCACATAGGGGATCCCAGAACTGGGGCACAGGTCAGCCTTTACTTCTTCTCGTGGGAAATAGGGATAGCAACCCCAAGCAGACTTTTGAGAGAACCATTTTAGGTAATTAGTGGATGTGAAACTGGTTTTTATAAGTGATATGCTTAAATCTTTCAGATGCTAATCTTTGATGACAATATTTTAAAAATAGAAGAAGGAGAAAGTACAAGGCACAAACACAGACTGAGCTAGTTCTCACCCAAAGGACAGTAAATCAGCCCCAGCTATGGTCAAAACCAAGTGTCAGCGTCTTACAAAGTGATGCCCCTGCATCGAGGACATGTAATATTCTTCAGCTGGCTCAGAGTTCTGTTCTCGGAACACTTCTACCGTCACCCTACACCCACCCATACAGGTCCCATGGGAACCGTCCCATCTTAAACCACCTTATCAACCTTACTCATCAGCATGAGAGTGGACATCTGACTTAAGTAGGGCCAGTCAGATTCTAAGCTCATTATGATCTGAATGTCAGTGTGGTCAAAAGTTAATGTACTGATACCTCACTCCTATAGGGTGACCATATTGGAAGGCGTGGACTTCGAGATATAATTAGAGTTCAATTAGGTCATAAAAATAAGACCCTTCTGATCAAATTAGCACCCTTGCAAGAAGGAGAAGCAGAGACCTATCTCCTCTTAGGCACAATAGAAAAGTCCATGTGGAAACAGAGAAGTGGCCATCTGCAAACCAGGAAGGCTCATTACCAGGGACCCAGACATACTGGCACTCTGATCTCAATGCGGCAGCCTTCAAGCTGTGAGATAACACTCACCAATTATTTCAGCCACCAAAACATAGCATTTGATGATAGCAGCTAGAACTGTCTAAGACAATCCTGAAGAACCTTAATCCTGGGTTCTACTAAATTGGCATAGGGTGGTCACCACCTCACATAGAGCCAACCCATATCTAGCTGGAGAGCGTTGGCTCTGGGACTTCACAGTGTAGATGGCCAGTATGCACTGCAGTGGGATGTCTTAGGCACTGCGGGTGCAGGTGGCAACTGACATAAAGAGGCAGAGGCCAGAGAGGGGAGCATCTGGACAGTTCTAGAGCCCTGGCTCCTGCCCAGCTTCATTGTGCCTGTAAATTCAATAAAATACCCCAATATCTTTGTAATATTTTCTCCTGAAGGCAAATGCAATTACACATCAGTTTATGTTATTTTCAACCAACAGAATTTAGTTGAAGTTTGGAAATTCATTCTTTTATTAAGCAAATGCAAATGGTTTTTGTTGCTGTTTGTTTGTTTTTGTTGTTGTTATTTGTTTTTATTGTTTGTTTGTTTGGTTTTTGGCCAGGCCCTAAGCCAAGCACCAGAGATGCAGTAATGGAAGGGACTCTCCACTTTCATGAGAGTCCAATGTTAACCAAGGGACAGAGACTTCAACAAGCAGTCAGGTATAATAAAGGTTTGGAAATTCTCGTAGAAGGAACATTCCACAGAGTCTGGAGGGTGACTGACTTATGGCTTAACTACAGAGCATGGCAGGGACACAGGTCAACTGTAGGGCATCACTCTTTGCTCTGCCTCCTATGTCTTGTACTAAAGCATTTGGGCTGATTAATCTTGTCAGTTTGCCTAAATTAAGAGACTGCTGGAGAAGTGACAGGCTTGTAGGGGCACTAACCTCACCAAATGCTAACCAAGGACAAGTGCATAGATGAACAGGCTAACAGGGGTTCCATGACTCTTCCTCTCTGGGCTCTGCCCCTGCTCTCTCTCTCCTGGATTCTGCAAGTTGAACAGAGTTCTTCTTCCATACCTTTCCATCATGGCATTTCTCACTTACAGCCACCAAACCAGGGGCTGAACCCTCTTACATCATGAGCTACAGTAAACCTTTTCCACTTGATGTTGAGCTTATCATGTTTTTCATTGAAATAGCCAAACAGCTGACCATGACAAGCACTCACATAGCTAAGTGTTGACTGAAGGCATATTTACTGCTTACTGTTGGAAACCACTTCCTGCATGTTTTGCTGTTCTATTCTTAAAGCAAATAATGCAGCCAGCTATGAAAGTTAGACCTCTGACCCTGCTAATGTCCTGCAAAAGATCCTATTTAATTTCCCTAAACTGGTCCCTGAGGCAACTAGCTGCAAGTACATCACTGTCAGTGACTACAACCTCAGGACACTGCATCAATACCAGGAGCCTTGAAAGTGTCTGTTGTTGAAATATATGGGAAGTAGTCCCTTACTCCCTCCTCACCCCAGATACAATATGCAGTGCTGTATAGGATATGCATTGAAGTATTTAAATAATGAATTATTCAAAAAGAAAAGGAACTGCAGTTACCTGGTGCCAGAAATTCATGTCTATGAATTCTTAATCTCTTCCCCAATGGGATTAGCATTTATGACTATGAAAGATGTCCTAATTATGCAGTTTCAGAGTTTATTTTCTGCAGGGCCCATGCAGATCTAAAAAGCATTAGGCAACAATAAAAACAGATGACTATGAATTTCTGAATTCATAATTCAGTTTCCCTTTCGGGGGGAAGTGACATTTTTTATTTATGGGTGTTTCACTCATCAGGTGGGTGCTAAAG